TAATGAAGTAACAATGTTAAACAAATTTCTAACACAACCAGCTAAGTTACAAGAGATTTCATCTAAAATGTCTAGTCATGTGATTGTTCCCAACAGCTCTCGTCTACCACACAGCACATCTCACCATTTGATATTTAAGTCTGTTCAATCATCTGAAAGTAAAAATGAACCACACGATGATCTTTCACAGTCTGCATCTATTATACCAGGGTATCATCAAATTATCAATAAAAAGAAGGAAAAAAAACAAACCCCGGAGGTAATATCAATAGGAGCAGTTATCCGACACAATATTCTTGGAAATATAAAAAGTGATACTCATTCCATGTTTAAGTCTCGAAGAAACAATTTCCCAGAGGTTAGAAGTGTTATTATTAGTAATGTTCCTAAGAAGAAAAGAATTCAAAAACTAAAAAAAAAAGTAATAAAATTAACTTTAAAACATAAAGATTTTAGTCTAGGAAAAAAAGCAGGTTACACTCAAAACTTTAAGAAGTCAGCTATATTCCATCACAGTCAAAAGCCCGTTTCAGCTTTAATTGATGATGTTGACGATGATTCAGATTTGGTCAGTGGAGACTCTAGCAATATAGATTCACCAGCAAATTCGGTTGTTTTTAGTAATTTTTTTAAAGTTTCAAATGGTTTAGGGAAACTCTATGACCGAAGTAGTATTTCACCTTTGAATGCAACAAAATTTGGCGGTGAGAGTTTTTCTGGAGAATTCAGTGATATTTTGGACCGTTTTTCAAATGTGATAGATGACACATCTAATAAAAACTACAGTCAATCGAACAACAACAAAAAAAATGGAGTTTCATTTTCGGGAAATGACGACGATATTTTATTTTCCAATGTTGAGTTGAATGTTATCTATGGAGATAAAAAAAACGACAAGAAAGTTAATATAACCGAACAAAAAAACACATGGAATTTTGTCAATTCAAAATTAAACAACACAGATTTTACCAACAATCAGAATAAAAACACAAGTTCGTTTCTAAGAAATAAAAGTTTGATATCTACTACAACTTACGGCAACGGAGACAAAGCAGTTACTTACACCACTGAAACAAAAAATGGAAAAACAAAAATGACCAAAACAATCAACTATAGGAACGGTGAACCCATTGATCGTTGGACAAACGGTAGAATTAAAATAAAAAAGTACAACCCTAATAGATATAACAAACCTCCACATTCTGGAAAAATTTTAAATAATTCAAAAATAAAAGCTAAGTTAAAACCAAAAGAATTGAAACCCATTGAAAGCTCTGATATTAATTCTGATGCTAATACAACTGGATTAAATGTTCTTGGAGGAAAGCAAGAAAATCACGTAAATTACAATAATTTTGATTACGTTGATAATGGAGTTAACTATACTGTAAAAGCACCTCTAAATATTCATAGTAGCAACTCGAGCAAAGAAAAAAACCCTGAAATTATTCCGTCGCCAGGTATTGATAAGGTAAAGGATAGCACCTCTAACCAAAATCTACCAACATCACCAGAAAAGGTAGGTGGGTTAGCTGAATCAACTCCAAATATTTCTAGTTTAGCTACTATGCCAATAAATAACCCTGATCTACCTCCATCAATAAATAACCCTGATTTACCTTCATCAATAAACAACCCTGGTCTACCTTCAATAAATAACCCTGGTCTAACTTCATCAAGATTGTATAACCATAATTTTAATCTCTTGCCAACAAATAATCTAGGTATATCCACATTAAATAATCCTGGATCATCACCTATACAAAATCAAAATTTCAACAAACCAAAATTAACTTCATCATTATTAAACAATGCTGGTTCACTGCTAATACAAAATCCTGGCATAACTTCACCAACACTCACCAACTCTAGTTCAATATCATCAGCAACAAATAATCTTGCAGTCACAGAGCCAATAGTTCCTGACACAAACGAAATACCAATGGCTGCACCTGTGTTAGAACAAAATCCTCCTCTTTTGCATTCTAATCTATTGTCTCAGCAGCAAAACCAAATATATCAAGCTCAAACTCCTTATGATGATCCATATGACACTACAAAAACGTATTCTGAAAATCAAGCTATAACAAGCGCATTGCAGCCATGTAATGAGGAACCGATTTATCAAAATGGCCTGGAAACAAATATGTTACCTGATAATACTCATCTAACAGAACAGTCTATCGCAGCTCAATCTCCTGTATCATTTGCAAGTTCTCAACCACTGGAACAAATGATGCAAACCAAACCTCAAAGCTTATATAAACAGCCAATCACTGGTCATCAAAGTTTTGTCAACTCATCTTGTCATACTATTGATATGACTAAAATTAATCTTCCGAACAACATACAGCCATTTTTGAGAAATGATAAAATAAAAGCTAATAGAGTAATAAATCCAATTGAAGTATCAAATACACTCAAAAATAAGCAGTCACTGAGTGCAAAATCATCAGGACTTCGTGTAGAAAGTACAAATAGTCACGGTCAAAATAATAAGACATATTTTGATGATGGAATATTAACTATTGAGGAAGAAAACATTGCACCGAATTCAAATATACTTTTTTTTAAAAAAAACATTAAAAAGGTTTCAAAAATAAACGCTAATAATTTTCAAGGAGAAAGTAATTACAAGTCCAACCATTATGACGTTGACAATTTTTCAGGAAATTTCAACGATGATGGGAGTTCTCCCGTTTTTGTTAAATATCGGTATCATGTACTGAGCGAAGAAGAAAAAATTGCTTCAAATGATGAATCCTTATTACCTGAGGACGAAGACTTAGGTTCTGGAAAAAATCCTGTGACCCATGAAAGTTTAATTCAAAAATCTGACAACATTGTTTTATCAGCTTCAGGTTTGCCATCTTTGTCACTAAACTATACGAAACCTGGTATTAAAATATCATCTGTCCATTTAAACAATAGCAGTGCTAGAACAAAAAATATTTTGATTAAAGAGAAAGATTTTATGGTGCAGTCTAAAAATCAAGTTGCATCAAGAATGCAATTGCCAGAAATCTCTAATGTGCGTCAGAAATATCCGACAACAAAAAATAAATCGTCGCAAACTAAACATTTATTGAAAGTTAAATATGATTATTCAAAGCATAAAGGAAACATAACATACAATCGTGAAAGTAATCAAAGTAATTCTCGACCGGTAATGCTTAAAAAACCAATCAATCAATTTATCAACCGGCTGTCTTTACAAATGTCTCGACTTAAAAAAAGCACTCTTGGTGTAGATTGAAAAATTTCAAACGCATTTTGACACTTATAGTTACTCGTTTTGACATTTTTTAAATTTCGAAAAAAAAAACGAACTCCTATGAAGAACATATTCTTAATAAAAAAATTAACAATTTTAAAATAATGATATAAGGACAGTATGTTTTGAGAAATAAAGTACTTACCTGCGCTTTACTTCTTGTCAGTTGATATATGCTATATGTTTATAATCCATGCATAGCACCTGATGTATTAATTATTAAATATGCTGATATCAGAACTGTATTTTATCGAGCGTCAATGGTACAGCGATTATAAAGATTACTTAGAAAAATTACGGTTATTATGACTAAGAACAACTTTTTCCAAGTTAGATGTTTTACTATCCAAGTTAGATGTTTTACAATCCAAGTTATATGTTTTGATATCCAAGTTAGATGTTTTTTGGTCGTTGATTTTTACTTAGCATCACCATAGTGTCTGTATGTTTTTTTGATTGACCTCAAACTTACGTTTGGCATTTATCTAACTTTAATTGACTTCAAACTTATGTTTAGCATTTTTATCTGACTACTTCTATTTGTAAAGTTCTTATCCAAAGCTATTTTATGATTTTTTTTGTTTTTGAAAAAAAAAAGAAAAAGAAAACAAATTGGATAATTAGTTACTAAACAATAGAAATAAATGAAGAGATTTTTTTAAAAATATTTTGTAATTTATATAATTTATTTTCTATATTTCATAAAACAATTTTGTTTTTTTATTTTTCTATTATAAGATAATGAAAAAGTGTATTCAAAATGTTATTTAGATAATGGGATAAAATACTTTATTAAGTCTAAATAACATGGCTGTCTAAGTACCAAGTATATCAACAGTTGATTTTTATTAAAGTTGTCAAATAAGTTATGAATGTTGAATCTATATTTAAAAGATTTTTAATTTAGTAATGTGATCCTAAAAGGTTGTTCAAGACAAAACTTTACAAACATAATTTTTTAAATATTTATAGAAAGGGATCTGTTTGTTTATACAGGTTCTTCTACATTCGATTCTGCAGGGGATATCAAAATTTCTCAAACAATAGTGCCTGGAATTGCTGCTCGCATAACGAGTCAAGACTCTTCTGTGTTTGATAGCATTAAAAGTGACGCTAAACTATCTACTGACGCAACCTCACATAGTGACATAGCCAAAAGCCACCATTCTTTAACAAGTTCATTTCACAATTTAATTGAAGAAGTTGCTAGTCCAAGTTTGTTATCAAATATAAATTCAGTTATTCAAAGTAAAAAGTTTAAAATTACGTCACATCAGCCGATGCTGATTATGACAGATACAAAAAATTCAAAAAAAGATGGAAAAATGGAGACACGTGACGTTGTTTCTGTTCTTACAAAGCATAATAATAAAACGTTGTCACGGGAAAAGAAACTTAATCAAGTATTGATGAAAAAGTTTCATAAACAAGTAAACAAATTTAAAATAACTCCAAAAATATCTAGTCACACAATTATTTCCAATAGAAGTCACCCGCTTCGTAGCTCAACTCGATATGTAATAATGAATTCGGACCGATCTAAAGCTAAGCAAAATGAATCTAACACTGACCATTTGCAATCTTTGTTTATTATTCCAGAGCATTTTCAAATTAATCAAAGGGAAAAAAAACTTAGTTCAGATTTTACATCAACTAAATCTGTTTTTCGCAACAATATTCGAGGAGATTTGATAAGCGAAGCTCGTCTTATGTTTATGCCCAAAAAATACAATTCTCCAGAGGATAAAACTATTATTAATAATCGTTTGTTACCAAACAAAAGAAAGCAAATGCCAAATAAAAATAGCAATGCAAAATTTTCAAAGTATAAACAATTTCTGAAAAACAAAAAAAGAAATACTTATAATTTAAAAAAGTCAACTATAATACAAAGCAGGAAAATCGGAGGTATTTTCGTTGACAATGTGTACAAAGATTTAGTTAATGGAAATGCTGCAAGCTTAAATTTACCAACATCAAAGTCATATCACCAAAACACACCACAATTTTTTGGTAAAAATTTTTCTGGAGAAGTAAGCCATATTCCTTCACTAGAAAAAACATTTATTGCCAATAAAAATATCAGTCGCTTGAAAATATCTAATGAAAAAGGAAATGAAAAATTGTCTATTTCAGAAAATGAAGACGAGAATTTATTTTCTAATGTAGAGTTAAATGTTATTTACGGAGATAGAGAAAGCAAAAATAAGGTGATATCTAATATGACAAAAAGCCCTTATAATATAAAAATATGGAACTTTACCAATTCAAAATTGAGTAACGTAATTTTGAGCCATAATCAGAATAGAAATACTGGTCCTTCTTTTCGAAGAAATAAAAGTTCGATATCGACCACAACTTACGGCGAAGGAGGCAAAACAGTTACTTACACTACTGAAACAAAAAATGGTAAAACAAAAATGACAAAAACAGTTAGCTTTGAAGACGATGACGATGATGATTTTTGGACAAACGGAAAAAAGAAAAAAAAGAAGTACGACACAAATATGTATGACGATGATAAACAGCACGATTTTTTAATTGACGTTAACGATTATAACGGTAATAAAAATGTTTTAGATATAAGTGATAAGGCTTTGCATTCTGGAAAAATATCAAATTATAACCCAAAATATAAAGCAAAATTACAATCAAAAGATATGCCTGATACAATGAAAACTGTTTCCATAGACAGCTTTAACAAGAACAAACCTAACACTACTATTACTGCCAATACATCTGGATCTAATGCAGTTATTGGAGGCAAAAATGAAAACAATATCAATTACAACTACGTTGATAACGGTGTAAACTCTATGAAGTTTACCCCAAGTAGTCAAAGTTCCATTAGTAATCCTTCCGAAGAAAAAAACGCTGAGATAATTCCTTCACCAATTATTAGCCAATCAATGGGTAGTACTTCTAGCATAGTTCAACCAGCATTGTTAAAGCCAAGTGGATTAGTATTGAATCATTATGTAACTTCATCACCTATTAACAATCTTGGTTTTACTTCATTAGAAATAAATAAACTTGGTTTAACTGCATCGCCAATAAACAACCCTGGTTTAACTTCATCAAAAATGAACAACCCTGGTTTAACTTCATTACCAATTAACAATCCTGTTTTAGCTTCTTCAATATCTCCAGATTTTACTTCGTCGACTAAATACAATCCTAGTGTAACATTTGTGAAGAGCCCAGCATTTTCTGAAGCTTCGATGAACAACCCTGCACCTGTGTTAGAACAAAATTTACCGATTCTGAATTCTAACTCATTGCCTCACCAACAAAACCAAATATTTCAATCTCAAATTCCCTATAATCAACATGACATTCCCAATGTTAACTCTGAAAGCCAGGTTATTTCTAGCGTTTTACATCCTTGTAATGAAAAACCTGTTTATCAAAATCACGTTCAACCACTGGAGCAATTAATACAAACCCAATCTCAAAATACCAATCAACAGCCATACACTGGTCATCAGGGTTTTGTTAATTCATCTTGTCATACTCTTGATATCACTAAAATTAATCTTCCAAACAACATACAACCATTTTTGAGAAATGATAAAGTAAAAGTTGATAGAGTAATAAATCTAATTGAAGTATCAAATACACCGAAAAATAAGCAGTCACTGAGTGCAAAATCGTCAGGACTTCGTGTAGAAAGTACAAAAAATCAACGTCAAAATAATAAGACATATTTTGATGATGGAATATTAACAATTGAGGAAGAAAGCATTGCACCAAATTCAAATATACTTTTATTTAAAAAGCTCATTAACAATTTTGAGAATGGGAATAATCATCAAGCCGAAAGCGACAAACTTTCTGGGAATAAGCATCAAACCGAAAGCGATAAATTTTCTGGCAATTACAACGACAAAGAAAGATTTGCGGTTGTTAAATATCATGATCGTGTTTTTAAAGAAGTAAATCCGCCCAATATTGAATCTTCATTATCTGATATTGAATATGACAAATCAAGCAGATCAGGTAATGGTATAAACTCAAGTAAAAGAGAAAAAAATGCAAAAGGTCGTTTGAAACAAGCAGATCGTTTAAAACGGCCTTTAAATCGATTTGAAACAAGTGTTTCACTGCCAATAACAACAAAGTTTATGTCTCAAATTTCTTTTAAAAATGACTTTAAAATGGTGAAGTTAAAAAACAGTTCTTTAAAGCATAAAGGAAATGAAACGGAAGGACAGGAAAATACATTTTATAAAAATGGTACACGGAAGACTAGTAAATTTCATAATTTAAAACAACCAATTACTAACAAGCTAATTCTTCAAATGTCTCGATTTAAAAAAAGCACTCTTGATACGAGTCGTAAGCACGCCATTTTTAGTATCAATAAAGGTGACGATATCCCTCGCTACACTCGTTTTGATAATTCGAAAAATTCAAAAAGAAGAAATGAACAGGTACCAAGATATAATTCTTCTAAAGATTTAGCTAAGAAATTTTTATCTGAAACCATGGTAAAAAGAGGTCATGTACTAATGAAATAGCTAGGCGCAAAAACTTTGTTAATTATTGAGATATCTTTACTAAAATTTATTAAAGTTATATTTATACACTTTCAGTTTTAAAAACTGTTAGCAATATATTATCTGTTTAAAAACTTTTATTAAAATGTATTCTGTTTAGAAACAGTTGTTAACATATGTCCTGTTTAAAAAATATTACCAACATTTTCCTTGTTTAAAAACTGCTATTAACTTGAGCTCTGTTTAAAAACTGTTTTTAACATGTGTTCTGTTTAAAAATTGTTATCTATATATGTCCTGTTTTAAAACTTAAACATAAATTAGTATACTAAAAAATAAAATAACATTTTGAAATATATATATATCATTGTGAGGACGATGGAATAGTCTATTTTTACTCCCTTAGATTATCACATGATACTCCCTTAGATTATGATATTAGATATATATTATGATATTAGACATGATACTCCCTTAGATTATCACATTATCATCGACAAATTTATATTTTCATTTAATAACCTTTTAGTCTTCAAATTTTATGATCCTATAAGGTTTCCACATTTCCTAAAATGGGAAGGTTATAAATTTTAAATGTTCATAGCTTTTTAACTTTAAAAGATAATTAAATAGAATTTGAAACCTGTTGGTGAATTTAAATTTGATAAAACAATAATAAAAAGATTTTTTTTTTTTTTTTTTGATTAGTCTAAAGTGTAAAATTAATTTGGAAACGCTTCTAGGGAATTTTTTTAAAATTTAACTTTAAAAGAAAAAAATTATAAAAAAAAAAACAAGTTTTACCTGTTTTGAATTTCCTATATTTGAAACATAGTTTCAATTCACGGAAATTTACGGAATTTTACATATTCTATTATTGCACTCAATGAAATCCTAAAAAAAATATTAATTACAAATACAGTTAGCATAAATTACAAATATAGGTCGAACGAAGACAAAATAATTAGATTTTTTTTTAGTCCTCATAAAAAAGTTGGTTTTGGTCTCAAAAGAGGGCTTAACCATTTACACAATTATTTATCATAGCGTGACTGTTAAACTTGAAATTTGCATAGTTTTTTAATAACAATGTAAACTACAATCTGTGCCAGTTTCAAGTTAAAGCTATTAAAACTTGCAGAAATATAGTCATTTTCATAAGAACTAGTGATTTTCACAGTTTTACTCGCCAATTCAAAATTTCATATATACAAATCTGAATAAGCGAGACTCTTTAATGAGTGTCATTTTGTAGCTATATTAGTAACGAACATTTGTAGAAAATTTCATGAAATTTTATGAAGTATTAGTGAAGATATTATGTAAACGGTATAATCAAAACAACAAAAAACATGTTCTGTGAAAAAACAGTTTTAAAAATCAGATAATATTTATTAAAGTAAATCAAAACAGAACTAACTCAATGGGATCCAGAATTATAGGGTTAGCATCCTTTATTATCTTTTTTATATAAAATCTTTTCTTAGACCTCTTTTTACTTTTCTCAATGAATTAAAACCCGATTATGGCCACTTTTAATACATTTTTTTCAAAATAACATATACTTGAAATATTCAAACAACCAAAAACATTTCCGATACAACTAATAGCATTAATAAGTATTTTTGGAACAGTGTGTCCAAATAGTTATATTTAAACACTCATTAATATTTTTCGTTTGGTCATGGAGACATTATTTTACCGAGAATCTTGACTTAATTCCTAAAAAAAATTTTTTTTTCAGTTATGTTATATACTTAAGGAATACTTGAAAACAAATTGGGAATGAAATGTATTAGAAATAAACTGCAATAGAGGTGTTATAATTCCATAACATGCTTGCTAAGCGCGTTGCTAAGAGTAAAAATCTATACCAACATTAAGATAATGAAATAACTTCAATTTTTTTTTTTTTTAATTTCAATGACAAATTAAGATTCTGTGACAAATTTTGATCTTAAAGCAATTATAATTAAAAAAATGAAAACTTTAAGATTTTCATCTTTTTAATTGTATAGAAGATAAATACTTCTTCTTATGTAGGAGCCTCAACTTCCGCAAACTTTTTGTTTAATAAGTTTTCTTAGCGAACATAATTGCGTTTTAATTTATTTTTGGTAGTAGTTTCCGGGTATTTGAACTTCCTTTTTAATCTATATTTTATTGGACTTGTATTAACAACTTCGATTACACTCTCACTGCTTCTAGGAGTCTTCTAAAATCTGTTGTGAAATATTAATTTCATCGAGATCAAGTTCTTTCTCTGGAGCAGCAAGTGTCCAGGGCCGGCTCAGACCGTATGCGAGCAATGCGACCTCGGGCCTAACGGGGCCTCGTATTGCTCTGTGGAAAGCTAGATAAAGAGGTATATATCTATCTCTAGCTTTCTAAAATGGCTCTGCGGGGCCCCACTAAGCGGAATTTTTTTTTAAAGTTTACTATGGAAGATTTAATAATCAAAATAAAAATAATAATGTGCATAGTATAGGATTTTTGTGAAAAAGATACTACCGAGCTATTCCATGACACGCGTTAATGTGTTTTTAATCGAGAAAACAAAAGTTTATAAAATTTATGAAATAAAAAATAAATTTTCTTATAATATTGAAATAGCGTAACTGTATTATAAAAACTAAACTTTTCATAATTTTTTTTCATATTTTTACAGATATAGCTCAAAATACGCGCGTCACAGCGTGACGTCGATTTGTCACGCCGTGACACTATTAAATGTGCAATAACTTGTAAAATAGAAAGTAAAAAGTAAATAAAAAATTATCCTAAAAGACGTATATTTTTTTACCAAAATAATATAAATTTTAAATATTTTTTATACAAACAGATATTATAAAATTGTATTTTCTCGATAAATGCAAAACATCGAGGCGCATGGAATTGCTCTACAACATGTATTTTTGTTCAATATAATAACTAGTGACACTATTGAGTATTTATATATTATGTATTATATTTTATTTATATATGTTTATTTATTTTATATTTAAAAGACGATTATATATAAAAAAACGATTTTACCCTCGTACATTAGTTCTCTTCAACCCCTCCCTTTTTTTTAGATTTTCATTGAACGCCTCGCAAACTAAACTCGCGTCGGGCCTCGCACTTGCTCGAGCCGGCGTTGCAAGTGTCACATATGTTTGTTCGTGTTGCTTTTTAGTTTTTGTGTATAGATTGTAGCTATTATCGATTTTGGATAAAGCAGTTTCTAGGTTTAATTAAGTAAAACACAGTACTTCAAATAAAAAATTTCAAAAATTTTCAAAGCTTTGAAAATACTTCATTATAACACTTTGACATTGATAGGACAACATGCATTGGAAATGACATTAGAGGAGTTTTTAGAGGATTCCATCAACACAAAAGGTACACCAGCCAGTATTAAAGTCTTGAAAAGATTGAACAAATATGTGCTTTTCAAAGGTGAAAGTACATATTTGTTCATCCTTTTCAATACTTCTTATAAGCAAACTAAACATTATAATCGTTAATTTGCATAACCTAAAATCAATTTTTTAAACATTTATTTTAATAATTGTTTTTAGGTAATGCTTTAACTATAACAATTTTTTTAGGTTATGGTTGTTATTATTAATATATATATATATATATATATATATTATTGCACAAGTCGAATGTAGTGATTATTTTGTTCAAAGAGATGATATACCCTAAAATCTAACTGCAGAGTAGTTATAAAGTATAATATAATAAAAATTATATTATATTTTAAATGCCATTTTTTTTTTACCATTCGTGGTACCTACGGTACCTAACTACGGAACAGATATTACATACAAAGCTATTTCAGCTGAGCTAACATACAGAGCTGAGATAAGTTCAGCTGAGATAACATTTCAGATGTTTAATCAGCAGTAAAGCCCACTAAAAAATAATTTTTTTCCTTTAATTTGGATCAGTGTTATTTAGTTTGTTTTTTATGAAAAATATTTTCATGATTTTTTTTGTGTGTTTGATAACGCGAAATTTGTTTCCAGAATTTGTGAAAATACTTCAGATTTTTCTTATTACACACTTTGTGTGAGGTACTGTTTGTGTATATAACTTTTATATTTTTTAATATTTTTGTATTCCTTTCAGATTATCAATAATTTTGTTGTGTTTGAATTTTTTTTTTAATCATATGAAATTAAATTGATAGAATAATAAATAATTAGTTTCAATTATTATAATAATAAAGATAAAGTAAAATTTTGTTTTTTACTTGATTACCGTTGATAAAACTATTCGTTTTATCAACGGTAATCAAGTATTATTAATCGAGTTTCATCGGTATCAAGTATTATTGTTAATCGAGTTTTGTCAGTTCAAACAGTAGTTTTAGTAGTTTAATAGTACTTAATAGAGGTATCATCAGGAGCATTTAACTAAGATGCATCATTAGGAGCATTTAACTAAGAGGTATTATCAGGAGTATTTAACTAAGAGGTATCATCAGGAGCATATAACTAAGAGATATCATCAGGAGCATTTAACTAAGAGGTATCATCAGGAGCATTTAACTAAGAGGTATCATCAGGAGTATTTAACTAAGAGGTATCATCAGGAGCATTTAACTAAGGGGTATCATCAGGAGCATTTAATTAAGAGGTATCATCAGGAGCTAGAAAAATGTCGCATATATGGCCAGAGCAGGCGTGAAACCATAGAAATAATAGATTTATTGATTTTGAAGCAAGAGTGTTTTAACCACAATGCCACAACTGAATTCGAGGCGCAGTGTTTAACTATATTTATAAATTTTTTTTTTGAGTTCACGTGGCGCCAATAAATATGTACATAATTTAAAGGATTGAATTAATGTGACTGCAAAAGTTTTATTTACATATAAATAAAACTTTTGCAGTCACATGAATTCAATCCTAAATTATAATTCAAATTGAAAAAAAAAATTCAAATTATAATTTGAAGAGTTGAATTAAGGTGAAACCAGTACTTTAGTACCTATTTTGAAAACTTAGTGTATGTGACTCAAATGCACAATTTCTATGCATAAATTTACTAGAGTCACAAGTCACCTATCTAATTTGATTTTATCTAAGGATGGAATTCACATGACTCCGCCAGTTTTGTACCCGGACTAAAACTGATAATTTTTTATTTGAAGTAGTAAAGACGGAATTAGTTTTTATATTTATACTTTTCATTTTTTTTATCATTAAAAGTTTTCTTTATCATATAAAGACAACATTTTAATGACACCTCTTCCACAGTTTCAAAATCAACCGAGTCCTTAATCAAAAAATAAAAAATTACGGTTTTTATTTTATTTTATACCATACTAACATAACTTGCATTTTTCGCAAGTTCTTTATTTATTATACATCAAAGTTATCCAGAAGTGTCACGTTTAAAGCAAAAATCATATCTTTCTCATTAAAGTTGACACTTTAAAAGTTTTCAAGGTTCAAGGACTCTCTACTAAAATGCATTTTATCTTATTAATTTATAAAATTTGAACCATTACCACTAAAAACACGATATGAACTACTTAATGGAGAACGAAAAATAAAAACTTTTTGATTAATCATAGAACAATCAAACTCGACATGACGTAATTATGGTCTGATGTTCTTCTGTGTCTGACGTAATAATGGTCTGTGGTTCGTCCGTGGCCGCTTCTCGGCCTAATGGCTTAGATCAAGTGTAGCAGCTGTTCTTGATTTTAGTTTATTTGGGCGTGCTAGTGATCCTAACGCATATAAAAGAGGGTCTACTGGCCTTCTGAGTGGTTTGTGAGCTTTACCATGCCCGCCCACGGGTTGCTGAGGGGAGTTTTCATAAAAGTCTACTGGCTTTTAACGAGTTAAGAGTGACTGAGAGTTTTATAGAGGTCGTAGACCTCAGTGTATTTAACTAGAGTGACAGTGAGTATAAAGAGGTTGGTTAGACCTCTCCTAGAGGTCTACTGGCTTCAAAGTGACCGCGTGTATACTAGAGCGACGGAGAGTTTATTATATACGTTCATTACTATACTACGTCAAAAAAAGACCCAAAACCAATTATGGAAATAGATACTCAAACAGCGGCTGTTACAGCCTCTTATAAAAGTTATTTACAAGCTGCAAGTAAAATCTCTGCACATGAAGCAATCAATACTAACATAATAAATGAATACAGCACGCCTAAAAATACTCTTATGCAAACTTGATACCAAATATAGTGATTTTGATATCTTATCAGCTATTGAAGATGTCGGTTATGATAAATATTTATAAGGTTTCCAACAAATACGTAACGACTCTACTATTGAAACTTTTATGAAATGTAACGAAGCTTTTTTTTTTTTTACAACGGACAAGAAGATAGAGGAATTCAAGCTCAAAAAATATAACAAGCGTAACAATAGAAAGTCATGCCACTAAAAGTTTTACCTTTAGATATAGTCTAAGGTAAAGTAACAAAGATCTAAAACAAGATGCTACGAATGATGAACATACAAAGGAAAAAGAAGCTAGAGAAACAAAGGAAAATTTAAAAATAAAGATAAAACCAACTGCAGCATCAATATTATAATTAGAACAAGAAAATCCCAAACCCAACGATAAAGATAACATAAGTGAAAATGAAGATGACAAAAAGAGTTTAAGGAAGATAGTAATAATGATAATGAAAGTGAAGCTGAAGGTAATGTTAGCGAGGCTGAAGATGAGGACAATGAAGAGAGTGAAATTGAAGAGGATTATAATGAAAATAACAGTGAAGAAGATGATAGCGATGGGAATAAAAGTGATGAAATTTAAAGTGAAGAAAAAGATAATAAAGAAAATGAAAATGAAAGCGGTGGGAATGAAAGCGACCTTAGTAAAACCGAAGAAAACGATAATAAAGAAAATGAAGATAATAGCGAAAGGAATGATAGTAAAGAAGACGATATAGCTAAAAGTTAAAATAGGGACAACGAAATTAAGAAAAACGATATTGAAGAAAATGACACCAATTACACCATAGATATACCAAAAGAGTTTTATTAACTGACCCATATAGAAAAGGTTGACTATAATTGCAAATATTCAAAAACTTTGATAAATTGCAGAAAGGAAGAACTAAATGAATTTAAAGCATTTAAAAAACTTGAGTGGGACCAATATGAATTAGCGAGAAAAACATATGATGATATTGAGCAAATAAACAAAAGGCCATAAGATTATAAAGGAATGGATTCGGAAGAAATATTATCACTAACAGAAAGTTTAAAAGTTATACAAAACTAAAAGAGTTATAAAAACCCCCAAAAAATAAAAAATAATTGATTAAAGAAATTTAAACAGTTATAAATTAAAAACAATACAAAATAGAATTTTTAGTTGTCAGAAGTGTCAGTTCATATCCAAGAGTGACTTGCTGTAACATCTGACAACCAAGTACAAAAAACCAAAACACTAATAAACAAATAAAAATATAAAGTTTAATAAAATAAAATAAAAATATAAAACTATAAAACAAAAATAAAAAATATAAAAAAAATCTGCCTCCTAGGGCGTTGGACTAGTTGGAAGATAATTTAAAAAAAAAAAGTTATGGTTTGTGGTTAAGTTGAGATCAATTAATGTTTAAAAATCATATATACCAGATCTTTTTTTTTTTTTGACATTTATTTTATGTGTTACATTTGATCAAAATGGCAATGTTGGGTTAAAGTTGTTTCGAACTCCACATTGTTGGTTTCCTTTATTGCACAAGTACTGCGTACAAAAGACCAAAAAAAGACAAAAACTGTCAACATGTTCTTTTCATTTTCATTTGTCAGTTTATGAACTATTGAATCTAAGTTGTTTTAAAAAAGAAGAACTTTGTAGGGCTTTTTTCGATTCATAATTTTCAAAATACCGTTTGTAGTGTATCTATCATTCTTAGAAGATTGGTAAAGCACTGCAGTTTATAATATCATTTAAATATACCTGAAAGATATTTTCTTATTGAGCTGATGCTTATTTACTTTAAATTACATATTTAAATATTTTTCATAATGATTTACAACTCCCTTTATTATCTTTCTATTTCATTTTGTTATTTTAAAAGACTTTTTTAGTTAACTTTATTAAATCGTGTGTGGATCTTATAATAACAAAGGGTTTTGCTTACATCACAGAATGTATTTTTCGACATTTTAATCCCAATGTAAGTAATTAAACTTATGTAATTAAAATTTTTTGTTTCGGTGAAATGTTTGTCCGCATAGGGGAGAGTGTGTATGAAAGAGCCAATTTTAGGGGTATGAAAAAAAATCAATTTTGAATAATTAAAAAATTTTCTTTAATTAAACAGCTACGTTATTGGATAATATAAAGTTATTTAGTTTTAAAAAAAGCTAATTAAAAAAGGCCGGCTTTTTCATAGCATAAAAAAGTGACTCTTTCAAATAATTGTATGGTAAAAAAAGTAACCTAAAATTAAACATTTTTTACCAAAACTTTAATCTAATATTATTTGTGGAAAAGAAGGACACATATATATAACAATACAGCATATATGTTTTATCAAATAATAAAACATTCTTTAACTTAAAAATAAATTAGTAAACCCCCAAAAAATTACTTTTTATTTTCAAAATTTTTAGGGCACTCTTACGACGCTATTTATTTTAGTAGAACTCTAAACTTTTTGTGGGTGACAGGTATCCAGCGTTGCCACACAAAAAGTAAAATACAATTATGGTCGGGTGCCAGTAAGTTAGATATAATAGCATCGGCTCTTTCAAAACCTGGCTCTTTCATACACACTTTCTCCTACCAATCCCATAATCAGTTCGCTACAATTAATAAATCTATTTATAGCCACCCAACCCTACGCTATTACAAAAGTAAATAAATACGGTTTTCCAAAAAAACCTTATAGATTTCAACATTTTCTTCAACTTTATAAAATTCAATTTTTAAGCTTCAAACGTCTTTTAGAAAAATTTAAAAGAAACACTGAACTTAAAAGTTTAAATTTGGTTATATAATTTACAATACAATTTTTACTTATTGCTTTTAACTTTTATTACAAACTAAAACAAACAAACTTTAAAAACAAATATAGTTTATTATTGTAACAATTTAATTTTTATATTTTATAAACTTTTAGAATGAATCTAATAGTTTTGGTTTGCATTTCGTACATCATTGTGGTTTCGTCGGGTACGTTAAAGATAAACTGTGAAAAAAGAATATCATCAAGGGTAACTTGAAACGTTCAATTTATTGTCTATTTCGTTAGTTGATATTTTATTTTGAAAAGTTTTATAATTATCTTGTATACTGGACAAAAATAAGTTGTATTATTAGCAGTTATATAACGTTTTTTGATCCTCCCCAACTCCCCAAAACGAGAACAAGCAGCCTTGTTAAAACAGAAACATTGTTAAAGACTTTTAAAGTTGGGTAACATTAAAAAAAACAATTATTTTTTGCAACAAAAAACAACATCTATATAAAATTAGATTAGGGTTTAAATCTCAAAGCTCGTTTTAACATATAAATCTTTCCATTTTTCTCATTAACAACATTAACACTTAACATGTTTGTCTCGTTAACGACACTAGTATTTGGTAACAATGAGTACTGGTAAGATAATGACTTACTACTTAGCTGGGCCGGATTTACCATTGTCCAAGGATAACTGATAATGTATTTCCCGATCTAGTGAATTAATTAATAACGTGAGTTTATTATCGATCAAATCAAATAAAGAAATGATGCAGAAAACAGTGTGCATAAAGCAATAGCGCTACACCTTTTACAAAAATAATGTTAGTTTGTCGGATTTGAATACTTTTTTAGAACCAGGAATAAATCATAAATGTGTTTTTTAAGCTTTTCGGTTATGCAAAGTCATTGATGATATCACGAAAGTTCTTTCACTTGACGTCACTTTCATTACTCGTTAAATTAGTGAGCCGTCCTTGAAACAGGTACAGTCTATATTTAATCAGTTTGATTTTCAAAACAATTTTTCCGCCGAGTAGACTGTTCTGCCCTACTTACAAAATAGACAGTAAGTGAAAAAAAAAAAAGAAAAACGACTTTGAAACGCAAGTTACTTCATTAATATATATTCTCTCTTGGTACAAAACAAAAAAACCGTATTCGTTCTCTTTCTTACCTAAAACATGCTAACAAATTAATTAATAATTTTAGTACATAGCAAAAAGACTGTATGTGTTAAATTATGATAATTAAATTAAAAATTTAAAAAATCAATAAGAGCTCAGGAAAACTCTTTTTTGGAGTCAATTGATGATGTGAAAAGTTTCTGACATGTACTAAGCTGACTGGTTGGCTAAATACGTTTTTTTTAAAGAATGTCTCATAGTGGAAATTTTGGAATAACTGTTTCTTTTATAAGTAGGGCAGTGTTATTATCTGTACAAGATAAATACAGTGAGGAATCTCAACATTAAAATTAGTGAATAAATGAAAATTTTCATTCTCACGTCCATTCGTTTTTCATCAAAAACCTTCACAAACGATTCAAATTAAATTTAATCATATTCAAAAGAGGATAAACCCAAGTTGTTTATGTAAGAACGTATTAGATTCATTTTTGTCTATGGCTAACTTGACATTCCCAGAATAAAACTTCACCATTTTAAAAAAGAAGCCAAAGAGAGATAATATTTGATTTAAGAGGAAAGTTCATATCCACATTGGAAGGGAATAAACCGCACATTTGAACTCCCAACGAACCATCAAATTTATCTGTGCTCCAGATTACTCTGCTCCCATTTGCTCATTATCTTTAAAATGTTAAGGCTTTGACGTGACAAACGTCTTGAGCAATTGAATGCTGGTCACCATTGTATTTGTTGTGTTTTTCTAATTTTTGTTTGTTTGTTTACTTATTTAATTTTTTGTTTTTTCCGTTGAAAAAAGACGTTTACCCTTTGCGAAGTATATATATATATATTGTATATCGATAGACATAAAATCTATTAATCTGTTTTCTTTCATAATTATCATTTAACTTTTTATACAAATTATATACTTTTCATTTTTTAAATATGGATTATTGTTTGATAAATAAGTAGATAATTTTTATTATCTATTTTATTTTTTTTATTTTTATATATTACTTATTTATTATCATACGCTTATATATATAATATTATATATATATATATATATATATATATATATATATATATATATATATATATATATATATATATATATATATATATATATATATACTATATATATATATATATATATATATATATATATATATATATATATATATATATATATATATATATATATATATATATATATATATATATATATATATATATATATATATATATATATATATATATATATATAAATATATATATATATATAATATTATACATTGTATATACATTTTCCTATTATATTTATAGGGGAAGTGGGGGCATAACCGCCCCCATAACGTTTGGATTAATGTTATATGAAAATAAAAACGAAATGTGTTTTTTTTAGCAGTTTATTTCAATAACCACATCATTAAGCTTTAAATTGATGCATTTAAGAAAAAATTGAACGGGTTTTGAAAATGTTATTACACAAAAATTACACTTAGTGAAAAAAACGGTTTTGCCCCAATTGTGAGGCACAACCACACCCTCTCAAAAATCGATGGGGCTACACCTTTCATGGTACATTTTTTTACCATTTTTCACAGCTCAGATTATTTGATGATTTTGTTGCATGTTTGCATACTGTGCAGGCATTCTTGTATTTACATTTTGAGTTCTACCCCAGAAGAGAGTTCTGCCCCAGATGAGAGTTTAGAAAGATTTCAGTTTCTTAGCTTAATTATTAGACTATGGTATTATCAAAAATGGCTTTCACTTCATGAAATAATGCTGATAACACATATCTTTAACACTAAAATCAAATATTGCTTAATTCTCAAAAAGAAGGTCAGGAAAAATATGATGTAAATATAATATTTTTATCAAAATAAACATTATTATTCACAACTTCTCAGAAACTTAACAGTCACTCTTTTTGACATATGAAAAATGAAGGAAAATGTTTTACTAACGCGTGGTATGTTTTTTGCCATATTAGATAACATTTTTTAAAGAGAAATGTTAAAAAACGGTTGTGCCTCCATATGCGGTTATGCCCCCACTTCCCCTATATATATTATATACAGGGCCCTCTTATATGTGAGGCCCAGGGCTTTGGAACAAAAAGCCTTATGGTAAATCAAGCACT